ATGCTAAAAATGCAAAGGCTCATGGGTAGAGGCTTGTTTGTAAACAATGACATGCTATGGCCATCTGACGCACGTGTAGGTGGCGACTCCCCCGCTTTAAAGCAAAATTAAAAACTATCTCTAGGTCATATTTGACTATGAAATTCTATACGAACTATATCTGTAATCCCCACTAAAAAAAGTAAAATACTCTAAGTACCATAAAATCTGTAATAGAAGCCGCACCCTTTTGAATAATTGAGACCCAACAATTTCTAGAATGTGCAGATGCTTTTATAGAAGCCACATCCCCTCTGTTGCGTTGTACCATTTTAATAGAAGCCGCAGCTTTTAAAGCATTCATTACTTACTTATTTATATATACCGGTATATATATTCATTACTTGTACAATTTCTATATTTATTGTTTTCATTAATTCATTCATTCATTCATTCATTCATTCATTCAGGTCAGGTCTGGTCAGCAACAGCTATTGCGCCCTCTCTGGCAGGTTAACTTTGACATAAACTAGGATGCAATAACTATTGCTGACCAAGTCAAGCTAAATGCAACACTGTCAAATCATCCAAATTATGAGTCAGGCTATGTCACAGTAGCGAAAAAACAAGCATTTATTGGTCCTTGTGCATTTTGCTTGACGACAGAAAAAATACAGTACATTAGTACAAATTGTTTATCATTTCATTCACTTTATTAATGTATGAAAACAGGATTTCCTGAATTGCGTAATTTCACCTGAACACAAGTATACATCTTGTAATAAGCATGTATATTATTAAAAATGATAGGAATAATTTACACCCAATCCAACTGATGAGCCGCAAATGAAATGGTCATACCCATAAGACCCAGGAATACTGGCACACCATAGATTCCACGATGGCGCTTCTTTGGATCTGAAAACGGAGAGATGTACGTCACAGATTAGTCATGATCCTGTGTCCTAAATGTAGAGTTATACATCTACGACAGATATGATTTATCCGTATATTCAATTCCCATAGACTGGGCAACATCTTGATCCCCCAAATGTTGCCAGGACCAATCACAAACAAATGAATTTTCGAATTAACACCTCTGTTTTCCCAACACTAACTTTCCCCCAATGCTAACGAAAAAATCGTTTGTCTTCTACTGACTTCTTTTTCTGGTCAGTCTTTGAAAATTCATTAATATGCAAATTAATGTTTTTAATTATTATTTATTAAATCTTCATGGCAGGATATGTTAATAAATGCACAAACATTTTATACAGTGAAGAACAGAAGACCGTACCTTAGTCTATAAACAGGTTTATAATAATTTGTAATCACCAATCGGCAGCTTTCATTCAAATATTCAATAGTGATAAGCTCATTTGGTTAATTAAATGTTTTATATAATACTCTCATAAAGCGTGCACATCCCTTCATGTGTCATAGCAACTGTTCATTTATTCAGAATCAGTTCCGATTGGATGATATTGAACCCACTCATTAATATTAATTACACAACAATCAAAGCTCACATTGTAAGATGACTGTGGTACTAAAATAATTCAAACTGAGAGTTCTCAAACTAAGGAAAAGGGTATGTATGCACGCCAATGGGTGCACACATGACCCCCCCCCCCCCCCGTACCCACACTGCAATTGTGGATCACCATATGCAGAACAGCCATATACACAAGAACTTTAGAAAATTGCAGTCAAAAAAAAACACAGACTTTCTTTCACAGACTCAGTCATTGCATAACTATTCTAAAAATGACGGTTTGTCATGCAATACTGTGGTAATCTTGCAGTTCACGCAAATACGAATCCTTATTGCCCATCAGTTTTATAACCTTATCTTGTACATCCTCACCAAATATTTCCATAATGTATTAGTTTACTACCAGTACTCTCATTTTTCATGTACCTCACGATACCTTTGCCACACCAACCCAAATCTCACTGTCCCCCCAACAACATGCAGTTACCTCCTGTGTAGTATCCACTTGCAAAGCTGCATCGACTTGCTATCCATAACAAACCAAAGCCAGTCGCTGTTCGCTATTAATATATAGATCAAAATAGAATATTTTTTACTGAACGTGAAGACTTGGTAATAACACAAAAGACATAACATCACATAAATATAGCACGAACAGGGTTGTGAAATACGGTGCTAGCTGAAGATAGCTGCCCTCTCATGTTCAAGACCTTTATAATGTAGCAAGATATGACACCAAATTTCATAAAAAATGTTAAGTGATCATCGTGAATGAAGTTATTGTTATCAAAACTACAGAAACTCTAAAAATGAGTCCATAATGCACTGCTCACATTTAACTGAAATTAGGCATTCTGAGAAGCACTCTTTTTAATACAAAGCAGAAATCTAGTTCCAGGTGTTTTTTGAGATTAAATCACAATGAGCCAAATTTGCTTAGGAGGATGCTGTAGCTGTTTTGGTGTACGTAACAGTATGGCGGTGAACGTAAAAAGAATTAAAATTTGAAATGTAGACATTTTCCACTTTCTATCACATTATTGAGATGCAGCCTGAGCTGAAAATTAAATACTGTAAATCGCTTATTTTTCACTGCTGGGAATTTCCAAAATTTTAATATATTATGGCATTTGTGAAAATAAATTTCACTTCACAGAAATTTTCACTTCTACAAAATTTGGCAATTCATCTTCAGAGAAATTAAAGCAATTTACAGTATATCTGCTACTTTGTGGTAAACCTACTTACAGGATACTGCAATCCAGCAAATGTAAGGAAGAATAAATAAGACGGATACACCTCCAACCTGCCCAAGACAATATAAACGTATGTTAACTACATATTTTAAATATTCAAGATTTATTCATTCCAAATTATCCTGCAATTCAATCGATGGCGCCGGAATTACATACACATACAATTACATAAGGACGTCGACACCAATACACTATGCTGGTAAAATACTGTATCTATTTGTCGAAATAAACAAGCTCAATTTTTACATTCTTATGTTCCTTACACATTATATTGGAAAAGCTGAAACTGGAATTGCTAGATTGATTAATTTGCACAATACACACAGAATCTGTACACTACTAGTACTGTATATTCTGTGACAACAAACACCGTATTTAACTGGTGCATCTCCAATATAAGTGCATATAAATCGCTTTTATTGTATACTGGATCATTAAAATGCGACTTGTTTTGATGACAGAATTTAGCGCTGTCAAGAGTATGCATTATGAATAGAGCAAATACACAACGATTACTTACGTATTTTGATGAGCTCTCTGAATGCAGTTAAACATTGGCTCTTCATCACTATACATAGTGGGGTACTACGGAAATATAACAAAATAATTGGCAACACAATGTGCCCTTTCATTATCAAATATGAACAAGATAAAAAAGCATCACAGTTCAATACAAGTTTGGATGAGTAAATTTGCTATTATTTGAAGTTCATAGTGAGGTAGCTTCTATATACCTCGTCTTTTTTTTAATATTTAACAATAACAAAATTGTGTAGATACGACTTTCAGTTAATTATATATACTTACTTCAACACCATATTCTCTACGAGCTTTGCTCACTTTGTGTGCCATGAACCCTACTAGGAACCAACTAGCAACACCGGTTAAGACCACATAACCGAATTCATCGGGTAGTTTTGACATTACAGGCATGGTGAAATCAGTTTGGAGTTCTATGGATAGACAGAAATAACACATGAAGTTTGTTTTCATAAAGCATGTGTTCACATAACACACCCTACAGCATCAAAATGCTCTCTTTTAACAATAATTCCCGTACATGCACTGTGCTGCGAAAGTCCTTTTTTTTCTCAAATACGATCGCTGACGTCAGTGAACATACCCGGTACTTCATAACCATGTATTTATTGTTAGCTACTTTAATTTTGCGACTTGTTACAGTGATTGTTGAGAAATTTAGTCTTCAGCAATACCAAATTTGGTTTAGAACGCATTAAAGTAATGGTGCCCTCATTGACAAAAGTAAATCTAGAAAGGAACCCAGTCCAAATCCATTCAGTAACACCACGGTTAGTCTTTGCAAACTAATAATTGGCGTGCATTTGTTGATTCTAGAAAAAAAATTAAAAATTCTAAAAGAAAATCATTTTTGCATGACTTCCTGTATTTGTTTAAAGGTAACGAGTTAGCCACTCCTTATTCTAGATTAGCACATCTTTTGTCTCAAATGTTTACAGCATCATGCATGTCAATGAATAAAATCTGATTCATTTACATAATCACTGAAATGATGCCCTGGAATTTTGCCTGTCATTTTTTAATACAAAAATAGTCAAAAATTTGTTTTGAGGTTGTGACTATAGTAATTGTGAACATTTATACATCCACTACTGTTAAATACTTTATTTTTGCTTATACATCTTTTTTCCTATATTTTACATTAAACTTATCAAAAATCCATGAAAATAAATTCCATGCAAAACACCCAAAAAGTCTTTTCAGTAAAAATATTGTCCAGCTAAAATAAAGTATTTTACAGTATTTACTGCTGGGTGGAACTAACCATTTGATGTAGGGGTGGCATCTATATTTGCATCTTTTGCACACACACAAGAAACTTTTCTTAAATATTTTACTTTTACTTTATATGTATTGTACTAACATTTTATTGCTGTCAACCAATGGATATTATTTCTAACGATGCAATAAATTCATTATTATTATTATTATTGCCTCTAACTAGTGTATTGTAATATACCAGTAGTACAGAATGTTACAATTCTATGTATGCATTATTAATTGTACTTTGTGTAAAACACAAGTTTTGCTACACAGTACATTCATAAAGACATCAATTTTTAAGTTTCCAGTTTGGACAGTCACTGGCTATTTTTGACAACCAATTTGGCTATTTACATGCTCCAAGTTGCATAATTTTGAATTTTTGATTGCGTCTCATGTAATCTTACAATGAACCTGCATTATATATTTGGGGGGGGGGGATGTATATTTTTAAATGTCCATCTTGGGCATAACTTGGATGTTGGTGTTATTTTTTGGCAGATTTGCATACTTTCTATAAGCTCCATCGGAACAACATTGTGTGCGTGAACTTCTCGATAAACCTGACAATATTAGACCATATCATGGGAAATGTTGTCTATATCTATTTTCATTCGAAAAGAATCTAAATAGGGATAGCAATGCAATAAAGATTATTATTATTTATTATTACACTCCGAAAAACAAACAACGAATCACTATTTTATTTAAATTAATCAAAAATTATTCTAATAATTCATGTACAAAAGAAAAATGTTTTTATACTGTATGTATCCTATTAATTTACGATCTTGAAAAATCAATTATTTTATGTTTTTGCTGCACCAAAAGATTGCCCAAGTGTTTAAACAACACCAATGGACGATCGTGTGTAGTGCAATACAACTTAACTGCTTAACGAAAGAAGTAGTCTACTAGCTAGTAAGTACGGGACGAGCAATAGTCGTATTTCTTGCATCATGAACTCAGTGGAGACTACAGTGCAGTGTACTATACATAATTATTTTAGGAAACGTTAAGAGCCCTTTATCTTCTATATTGTGAAAAGAGATATTGAAATTATATCAATTTTTACACATTTAGAGTCTCAACTCTGACGACGAAACTGAGGACCGCATATAACCCGGGATATAACCACGACCCCAAATTTGAATTGAAAAGCATTCCAAGGCCCCCACAGTTCTACAGGCACTGTGGTCCGGACTTGAAACTTCGCCGATGGAGATAAACATAAATAAGCCGATTCACCACTGTATCCCATGTTAAATATTATTTTAAGAACCTAGTGATTAGACTGTAGGTCTATAACACGGTTTCATTGCACAGTTCTTCAAGTACCTACGTGCTTAGGAGCTGTAAAGTAAGCCTGTCTTTCGTGTCCAGGTGTGTACGCCAATGACAGCTTTGAATGGCCCTCTACTGACCTTTCTGTGAACTGTCAGAAGATCACGTCGACTACGAGATTCGGTACCTGCGTGACTTTCAAAATATACAAAATGGCGGCAGACGTAAGTGAGATGCTTCGGGACTTTGCTTTGAAAAAGATGCAAGAACTAGAAAAAGAACGAGAACATAGGTGAATATTTTGACTTGTAATTGCTCCCAAATCCGGCTTTCATGTAGATAAGAGGGCGCAGAGGTTGGTGTACGTCGCCATCTTCACTATTAGGCTAGTAACTAATTGCTATTTAACAAAACCCAAACCATGCCGAAACGACAAACCTAGACATACACGATCCATAAAATATCTCAACTGTATAAACCTAAAGATTTGCTCTCGTGATTTTCGTTCACGTATGTTATTCACGTACGTCAAACACGGTAGAAGTTAAACCCACAAATTGCGCGCATTACGCCATTTTATCCTACGGGAATGTGTTCTTCAAAGTGTAGAATGTGTAGCTGCCACTTTAGACAAAATTTGAGATGTCACTTGTGTATCTGGTTCTAAATGTGAGATGATAACTAATATTTCTAAACAATCAAACCATCTGTCAAATACATTTCCAGTCACCCAATTGCTGCCATATTGTGCGCTTTCTAGACGATCTAAGTAGCATCTTTAAGCAATACTTGTAATCTATTTAGAACAAAAACTAGTCAAATATATTTCCAGGTTTGTTATCTAGATGATCTAAATAGCATCTAATCTGGACTTGCAATTAGTTAGAACCAATGTATGCAGTTGTGTCTGTTGAAATTATTTTCAGGCATGTAACTGCAGCAATATTGGGTCATTCCAAATCATTCTAAAATGCAATTTCCATTTCCAATTTTTTAATAACACATCAATTTCATTCAATCATAACAACTCGAAAATGATACTTCTTTTTCAGATCGCCAAAAAACAATGAAAGCGTGAAAACAAAAGAAAACAAAGCAAAAAGTAAAGACAGCGCTTTGAAAGACAGGAAGGAGAACAATAATACATTTGGTACTGAAAACCCACACAAAAAGAAATCAGCTGACAAAAAGCAAGTGAAGGAAGTGAAAATAGAGACTAAACCAGAAGTTGAATCTTACTCGCAAAGTAGTCTTAAAAATATAGAGAAAGTTGAGCATAAGCAGGATGAAACACATAATATTGGGGATGGTAAGAAAAGTGGACAAGCTGTTGCATCTGATGGGAAAATCAAAATTAATATTGCCACCAAGGAATTGAAACTTCCCTCTACCACGGAAGATGAAGGAAACAGCGAGAGCGAGTCTTCAGGTGATGGTGATGATGTAGAAGACAGTGATAATGGGAGTGCTGATAATGGGAAACCATGGAGGAATGTACCAGAAGAAGGAGAAATTGTAGACAGTGATGGGAAAGACTCATCAGCTGCAAAGGAGAAAGCACAGGAAAATTCTACTGATAAAGGAAAAGATGGGAAAAGTGGGAAGAAGAAGCACAAAAAACACAAGAAGAAGAGCAAAAAGAAAAAACATAAACATGACAAGGACCGGGATAAAAAGAGAGCTAAGAAAGATAAAGAGATTAAAGAGGAACACAAAGACAGGAGTAGTAAAGAAAAAGATAGAATTGACGAAAGTAGAAGAGAAAAGAGAAAACATTCTCATAGATCACGATCTAGGTCAAGATCAAGGTCGAGGAATAAAAAGTACAGACGATCACGTTCGAGGTCGCGATCTCCTAACAGATATAGAAGAGCTTTCAATGATTTGAGATACAAATTGGAATCCCGTGAACACTACAAAGATAGACAGCGGCCATATGATGGGCCTCATAGCTCAAGAGACGTCAGATCTCATAGATCACGTTCTCCTAGGAAGGAAAGGACACCAGTGGCTGAATTTGATAAAGCTAAGTTGTTAGAGATTGCTAAGGCTAATGTGTATGCTCAGCAGAAGGCTGGCCTTATTCCACTGGAGTATCAGCTTCCGCCACCCACCAAAGAAGAAATTCTAGTTCAAAAATCAGGTAGAGTCAAATCAGATTTCACAGTATTGTGTGTGTCGGCTAGATTTGAATAGTTTTTCGGGTGTTTGGCCAATTTTAAGCACTTTCTCTTAATTGTAAATTATAACATCAAGTATTTATGATGATGTATACCAATAGTGTGACATCACAGGTGTTTTATAACACTCCATGTTCGTCTACATTGTCAGTTTACAAGACAACTTCATGTAACATAATGGTTACAGTAAACCAGACATATTATTTCTAGAGGGAACACTGCAGCATTATTATAATCCTGAATTCTAAATTTGTTTTGAAACTGCAAGAAACATGGAAACCAAACACTTTGATAGGCTTCATAATAGATATTCTAGTTTTGCTGAAATATTATAAATTGAAAAACTGCCAAGTGGTCATGTTATACCAGTTATGCTTATAACTACTTGTATAGATGCAGGTTTAGTTACTCAATAGATCACACCTCCGTCAATGTATCATAATGAATAACCAATCATTATAATCGTATCATGATGATCAACCAATCATTATAATCGTATCACGATGATCAACCAATCATTATAATCGTATCATGATGATCAACCAATCATTATAATCGTATCATGATGATCAACCAATCATTATAATCGTATCACAATGATCAACCAATCATTATAATCGTATCATAATGAATAACCAATCATTATAATCGTATCATAATGATCAGCCAATCCTTATAATCGTATCATAATGATCAGCCAATCATTATAATACTATCGTAATGAATAACCAATCATTATATTCGTATCATAATGATCAGCCAATCATTATAATACTATCGTAATGAATAACCAATCATTATAATCGTATCATAATGAATAACCAATCATTATAATCGTATCATAATGATCAGCCAATCCTTATAATCGTATCATAATGATCAGCCAATCATTATAATACTATCGTAATGAATAACCAATCATTATATTCGTATCATAATGATCAGCCAATCATTATAATCGTATCATGATCAACCAATCATTATAATCGTATCATAATGATCAACGAATCATTATAAGCATATCACAATGATCAACCAATCATTATAATCGTATCATAATGATCAACCAATCATTATAAGCATATCATAATGATCAACCAATCATGA